CTAAAAAAAAAAAAAAAATCACTTTCCTATATCTCGCTACCTTAGTTTTTTAAACCCTTACTCTGAAGCCCCGAAGGCTGAACCCCAGGGCTTGGACCGTCTACTATAAATCAGTATTTGAGCCCACTGGCGTCCCTTCCCATGTGATCCCAGGTCTATCACCCTGGTCCTTATTCTCGGAGACAGAAATGGGGGTAGTTCTTCCTCCACCTAGAGCTGGGTGGAATGGGGTCATAGCTCCCTGTCCTCACACCCTTCATTCGTGTGACAGGTCTGACGGCCGAGGGGATAATAATGTCCCCAGAAGGAACATAGACTCCCGCTTGGGTGAGATCCCCCGGAAAGAGGTGAGGGCAAGTTGGGCAGGGGCCAGGGGAGAGAGGGCTCTCCCTGACGGGTTCCTCCACCTCTCCACACCCCTGGCTGGCTCCATCCTCCATGTCCGGGCCCCTGCGTCCCATCCCCACTGTCTGCAGCAGGGTCTTGTCCCTCTGGTGCTTGTTTCTGGCCCGCTCCATGCACTGCGGCTTCCTCGGTGGGCGAGGTGGGATTGAGAGAATGTGACGCCGACCTTCTCTTCTCTTTTCCCTCGGCTCTCAGATTCCCTCCCAGGCTGTTCCTCGCCGCTTTGCCACAGCCCCTAAGCCTGAAAAACCTCCTGCGCGAAAGAAAAGCGGGCACCCTGCCCCAAGTAGCATAAGGAATCGGGGGGGAATCTGGAGATGAAGCCCTTGCCCTTTCTCTTCGTTGTTCCCCTCTCTTCTTTTGTTATTATTTTAATAAATGCTCAATAGTCTGTACTAGAGTGACTCGTAGGAATTTGAAAAATGGAGGTTTTATATGGAACTGCTTTGTAAAGAAATCTGCTTCTGTTCGAGTATGTTTTTATATGTTGTGTGTGTCTGTGTCGTTCCCTGTGGGAAAAGACATGCGTGCTTTAAAAGAAGGTGGTGACTGGCTTTCAGAAGTCTGAGTGAGGAGGAAACCCTGCAGGAGGGTCTCACTCTGGCAGCTGTAGGATTGTGGGGGATTCATACTTTCTCTTGTATATATTTTTATATTTTCTAAATTTTCTAAAACAAGCATGTGTTACTTAATCAGGAAATAAACAAACTTTTAATAAAAGAATAAGTTATTGTGTAAGAAGTTTGAGTGAGATTTTGATTTGGGGGGAGACAGTTTTCTCTTTTAAGAACAGATAATTCCTTGGGGCCAGCCAGTGGCATGGCGGTTGGGGTGCTGGATCCCACATGGCCAACTCTCTGGTTTAAGTCCTGGTCCTGGTGGCTTGAAAATTATGCGGGGCATGTGTGCCCAAAATCCCGAGAGGAGAATGAAGGAGACTGAGGCAGGGCTAGCCCTTTGGGCGTTGGTCATTTCTCACTTTCCTCTCTGTCTCTATCTCTTTTCAGCAAGCACACATGCTCTATGGCACAAATCTTTAAAAAAAAAAAAAAAATTCAGATAATTCCTTCAGGTTGTGCTAGTAGGATTTGGCCTGGCAGATCCCGCTCCAGGCGGCAGACATGTTATATAACGGCTGTAATCTTCGCTGTTAGGGCTTCAGAACACGTGGAAAAGACTCGAATGCTGGCAAGGAAAAACATGCCAGGCTTATAAAACTTCTAATGCTTACCGAAATGAACAAAGAAAAACAACATTAAGGAAGAAAATGACATCTATGTGAAACTAAGAAAGCTCTAGCTTCGTGGTATAAACACTGACACGCACTTAGAAGTTCAGCTGAACCAGAAGAGGATGCCTGGAGGTGCCTGCAGCACTCCAGTGCTGGGCCCAGGGCAAGGCACAACTGGGAAGGCCCTGGTCCTACCTAAGGGACAGAGCTGACTGGATTCCGTGAGGACAACGCCCTCCTATGTGACCTTGAACTATCTGATTAGATCTAGAATAGACACAGTAGGATATAGATTCACACAGTTTTGTATTAATAAACATTTAGGTTTTGTTTCCTTCCATCGCAGCCCATTTAAGCCCCCAGTGGAGAGGGAAGGAAGAAAAGATGGGGTTCTATGACCAGGGATTTCATGACTTCTGCTCAGCTGTGTCTGGAATAGCGTGGTCCTCAGGACCGCTCTCTCATGTCCAAGCCAAGGAACAAGACGAACAGTGCAGGAGTCACACCAGGCTCGGGGGCCTTTTGGAGCCCGGTTTATCCTCCTATGGAAATGTTTGCTTTTCTCTTTTCTATCTCAAGTACATAAAATTGGTTTGAAGACCAGCAGGTAGTGTGGTGGTTAAGGCAGATGGATTCCCACATGGCTGACCGTGGTTCGAGTCCCAGACCCGGCGGTTGAAAATCACGACAGGGGCATGTGTGTACAGTCCCAAAATCCTGAGAGGAGAATGGAGGAGGAGGGATTATGGTGTGGCCATCCCCACTAGGGGGTGATTTCTCACTTTCTCTTTGTCTTTCTCCTCTCTGGCGAGTGCATGCACCCTCTGGCAAAAACCTAAAATAAGTTTTTAAAAAGTTGGTTTGACCAAGCTTTTTGATTTTGGGCACATCATCATCACTGGTAAGAGATGGTTTTATACCACTTTTGTAAGTTGGTAAAATGAACACCCAGTTCATTCTTATTTCGTTATCTCCTGGATTCCAACCTGCCACCATCAGTCAGCATGCCCTACATTTTTCTTGACATAAAGCACAGTCTGGAGAATATTTCCTAACCCTCTCTCCAAAACAAAACCAGAAATCGGCACAGTGCTGACTTAATCATTTTGTGAGATAATTATAGTAAGACAACTTTAATTTTTAAAATATATCTATTGTACCTATGTTAAAAGTCTCTTTTTTTTTGGAGAGTTTTTTTTCGCTATAGGGCGCGTGCGCTCGCCAGACAGAGAGAGACAGAGAGATAGAAAGCGAGAAATCACCCCTCAGGGGGGATGGTCACACCGCAATCCCTTCTCCTCCATTCTCCTCTCGGGATCTTGGGCACGCACACACACATGCCCAGAGTGAGTTTTAAGCCACCGGGTCCGGGACACGAACTGCGGTTGACTACGTGGGAGTCCAGCGACATAGCCATTACGCTAACTGCTGGTTCCCAAAGTCTTTTTTCATTGAAGACCACCAAGGAACTTAGGAAGAGAAAACCCAAGCAACCCCCCACTATTTTTTATTTTTCATTTTTGCCATAGGGCATGTGAGCTTGCCAGAGGGAGACAGAACAGAGGGAAAGCGAGGAATCACCCCCAAGAGGGGATGGCATGCCACAATCTCTTGTCCTCCATTCTCTAGGGATTTTGGGCACAAACGCACATATGCCTGGAGTGTTTTTTTTCTTTTTTTTTTTTTTAAAAGAATTATGTTATTTATCATTCTTGTTATTATTTTTTATTTGACCTTAGCAAGACACACACACAGAAAGAGAGAGAGAGAGTAATAGATAGCAAGAGAGAGAGAGGAAGCAAGCAAGCTGCCAGGTCCGGGACTTGAACCGTGGTCAGCCGTGTGGGAATCTAGCACCTTTACCAGGCCACCTGCTGGCCTCATTCTGGTGTGTTTTTCAAGTCGCTGGATATAAGGCTCAAACTGCGGTTGGTCATAGGGGAGTCCAGCACCTTAACCACCATGTTATCTGCTGCTCCCCCCTTCCCTGACTATCTTTCATGCCAGAAAGCGTATCATGTGTACAAGAGATTAAGAGAGAGAGAGGGAAATAAAAACAACAAAACAACAACAACAACAAAAACACGGCCCAATAGGCTATAGTCATGCTGCAATCCTTTTCCTCCAGTTCTCCATCCTGTTAGGATCCTGTGCTCATGCACACATGCCCAATGTCTTTTTCAAACCACTGGAACTCAAACCCTGGTCAGCCATGTGGGGTTGGGCTTTCTTTGTGCATCACTTAACCACTGAGCTATGGGGCCAGCTAATCCTCTAATTTAACCCTCCATGATCATTTTGAGAGTATACTAAGAGGGAAAAAAATTACAGAACTTGTAGTTTCTATCAAAGCCCACATGTGTCCCGGTGGTGGAATAAGGGCGAGGCTAAGCTGCCATAACAAGAAATCCAGTGATATGGTAACTTTTTGCCATGGCCAGAGCAGCGAGGTAGTCTTGCTCCACGTGGTCACTGTCACTAGGGGCTTCAGGTTCCTTCTGTCTTGTTGCTCTGCCATCACCTGGGGCACTGTCATTTGTGTGACCAAAGCAATATCATTGTCATGTAAGAACTCCCAGCTGGCAAGGAGGGGCAAGAACTACATCCAATGTCTAAGACCCATAGGTGGCAACGCCGCATGTTGATTTCGCCCATATCTTATTGACAATGCCTTGGTCACATGGCTGTACCTGACTGCAAGAAACTCAGAAATCTAGCCTGGCTGGATTGCCACGTATACAGCAATATTTTTTTTTGTTTTTTTGTTTTTTTGTTTTTAAATTAATTTGCTATAGGGTACATGCACTCACTGGAGAGAAAGAGAGAGAGTAGAGAAAGCTCTCCCCGGGGGATGACATGACCATGTCACAATCCCTTCTCTGCCATTCTCCTCTCGGTCCTTGGGCACGCACACATGCACCCAGCGTGTTTCTTAAGCTGCAGGGTCCAGGACTTGAAGCACAAAGTCAGCCATGTGGGATCCAGCTGCCTTAGCCACCACGCCACCTGGTTGGCCCTATAGCTATTTTTATGCAAGAACAAAGGAAGGAGAGAATGGATTTTGATGGACAACTGGCAATCTACCTTATGGAGAGCTGGACCTTTCTTAGAGAAACTAGAAACTAATAATTGAGAAAACCTATGCCAATAGTCAGACTGCAGATAATGGAGGGGGGGGCACTGAACATGCAAACTAGTTTAAGCGGCACAACTTAACTAACTAGCAGGGTTAATGCAGAAAAAAGGAAAGAATTTAAATTTTAGCTAGTATTCTTATAGAGAAAAGAAAGATGACATGGAAAAGAAGCAGTTACAGGGACCAGCAGTTAGCATAATGGCTATGTTGTTGAGCTCCCATGTAGTCGACCGCGGTTCGAGTCACAGACCTGGTGGCTTAAATTCACACCGAGCATGTGTGAGAGGAGAATGGAGAAGGGATTGCAGCGTGGCCATCCCCCCTGGGGGGTGATTTCCCGCTTTCTGTCTCTCTGTCTTTCTGGTGAGCGCATGCGCCCTATAGAAAAAAATCTCTCCAAAAAAAAAGCAGTTGTAGAAGATTTGGGGAATAAACAACGAACAAAGGCAGCAAAAAGCATAATGGACTCTACTGGAAATCATATATTAATTAGATGAAAAAAAATTTTTTTTTTGGAGAGGTTTCTGCTATAGGGCGCGTGCGCTCTCCTGAAAGAGAGACAGAAAGTGAGAAATCACCCCCCAGGGGGGATGGCCATGCCACAATCCCTTCTCCTCCATTCTCCTCTCAGGATCTTGGGCACGCATGCACACGTGCCCGGCGTGAGTTTAAGCCACAGGGTCCAGGACTCTAACCGTGGTCGGCTACATGGGAGTCCAGCGACATAGCCATTACGCTAACTGCTGGTTCCTTAATTAGATGGAAATTTTGAGAAAATCTCCAAGTTGGCAAAATGGAGAAAATGTGTTAATTATGAGAGAAGTGATGGGAAAAGAATAGACCCAGAGAAACAAATATCTAGAGGGAGAAAACACAGTAATGATATAGTAATAATAGAAAGTTCTGATTCTGGAGCCCGCCCTGGAGGCTGGTGGTTGAGAGAATGGACACCACATAGCCGATGGCACGGTCTAAATCTAGCCCTCAGTGGCTTTGGATGGCCACGCCGCAATCCCTTCTCCTCCATTCTCCTCTCGGGATCTTGGGCACACACGCACTCGCGCCCGGCCTGCGTTTAAGCTACCAGGTCCAGGACTCGAACCGTGGTCGACTATGTGGGAGTCCAGAGACATTACACCATCTGCTGGTCCCCTATAGGATGGTGATTGAGCTGGTACCCACATGGGCGACCTGTGGTTTAAATCCTGGCTCTGGCACCTTGAAAAACATGCCAATATGTGTGCCCAAAACCCTGAGGCGGAAAAAGAAACGGCAGAAAAAGGATTGCGTGTGGCCACAGCCCAGTAGGGGATATTTTCTCTCCTC